CGACCGCCTGTAGACTGTGTGTGCTCCCCGAGTGTGCTCGCGATTGTGTGTACCTTCTCATCTTTCTGCAACCTCTTTTCTCCCCTTTATCCTTCCCCAGTGCAGGGTAGCAAACCGGATGTGCGTCTGGTTAACCTCCCGGCCTTTCCTTGCATCTATATCTCTCTCTCTCTCTTAATTTTCTTCTAAGTTGCAAAGTTGAATGACTTATCCAGGCATTTACATGTTAGTTTTTATTACGTATCAAAGGTACAAATCAGTCAATGCATTCATGAACAAGTTTTGTAAAAGAAGCCCAAAGACCATGAACATTGGCACCAGTGCAAGAGAAAATATCTAGATGAAATGAAAGCACATCCAATATAGCTTCGTCATTAGCTCTAGAAAAGTTTGGAAAAAGAGAAAACTCGTTATCCCTGTTTACAATAACATTTCTGAGACTAAGAAAGACTGCTTGATGATCAGAATTTCCCGGAATAAATTGAGATGAGGCATTATCCAAAATGCTGTTGTGATGTTGATGAAGCATCAGCGTGCCTTATCATCATGCCTGATCACATTGGTGATGAGGCATGATGATGATGAGGCATTATTCAAACCAAGTGTTGCCCTGAATTCTTTTCAACCCTTTAATAATTTGATGGTCAAATGTGAAAGAAATATCTAGTAGTGCCTCTCCCACCATGTCATTGTGACTTTGGGTAGACTTTTACAGCCAGTCGACATTGGGAAAACTAAAATCTCATGAAAGAATTACCCAATCATCAGGTTTGGCATGGTCACATAAATACTTCTTCAACACATTCATAGTAAAAACTTCAGAGTTTGAAGCTCTGTGCATGGCACACACAATGTACGTAAGGCCACCACAGTAGGATTTACAGAATGTGTACTCAATGTTGGAAACATTAGGCATCAGGAATACCTTAAGCGCACTGTTGTATATTATACAAACTCCACCACCCCCCTCCCCCGTGCTACCACGGTCTTTCCTGTAGATGCTATATAATAATAGAACAAATTCACTATCGCATAAATCATCGCTCAGCCAAGTATCAGTAGATTGCAATGTGAGGATTGTTTACAATAGTTAGTTTACAATTCTTAAAAATAAATTGCAAAAAATGGCTTTTTCTTTACCAACGTAAGCCGATACAGGCCATATACATTTGCACATGTAAACTTCGGGTGCTCAAAGAACGTCTTCGGGAACGTTTATGCCTATGACTGCCATATGAGACTTTGCTGTTACCTCAAACCACGACTACAGATTATTTATTTAGTGAAGCCGTTAAGGCAGCAGTAACTAACTTGTGTGGTTGTTTCGCGTAGCATGACCCGGGCTGGTTAACAAGTACACACCCAATAAACCGAAGAAATAACACAGCACATCAAAGATTCACCAAAAAGGAAGAAAACGGCTGCACTTACCGATATTACACTAGCGACAGAAAAGGCAACGGCGAAAGCGAACAGACCTTAAAGCAGTGAAAGGTTTACGCCAGCGACGACATGCCTCTAGATCTATCAGAGGTGGAAAGCCTTTTGGTTTTAAGGCCAGTTAAGCTTCAAACGAAATAGAGGTTATGACTGAAGCACCCGTTTTAACAAAATATATATCTACCTTGATTTGTTTCGATCACAATCGCTACAATGAGCAACTCTTATCATTGTTTCCCTTAGCATGTCACATTTCAAACAAAATAGAGGTTATGACTGTTGCACTCTTAGGAAATCTAAGCCCACTTTTATTTATTTCTATCATAATTGTTACGATAATTAAGTGATTGATTGATTGATATGTGGGGTTTAACATCCCAAAACCACAATATGATTATGAGAGACGCCGTAGTGGAGGGCTCCGCAAATTTAGACCACCTGGGGTTCTTTAACGTGCACCCAAATCTGAGCACACGGGCCTACAACATTTCCGCCTCCATCGGAAATGCAGCCGCCGCAGCCGGGATTCGAACCCGCGCCCTGCGGGTCAGCAGCCGAGTACCGATAATTAAGTGGCATCATTTTCTTTAAATAATAAATGTTTGCGGGTGCTTCGAGTCAGTATTATCTGGTCACGAAGGAGTTGTGTCAGCTACTGATTAGTGAGTATATAACTTAAGAAAATCAGCACAAAAAGGAAACAAATAACTAAGCATTGGTTACTGGTTGTTGACGTAAAGCGCTGCTTGTTGTCATGAAGGAATACTTGCCATACTGTTTTACGATTGGTACATTCATTTAACCTGTTATTTGTCATTCAATCATTCAAACAAACAGACCATGATTCCGAGTGACGTGATATGTTATTGATTAGATATAGCTTAAACATTCTTTTCTAGATGTCCAGGTACATAAGAACACAAAAAAAGAGTACGCACAGAGGGAACGCAATATTTTTTGCCGTCATTTATGTTCCATCGTCCATAGTATTTTTGTGCTGTAGTGCACCAGAGTTCTGGTACCAACTCGCCTATTTGATCTCCTGGTGTTGTTGTGACATGCGCTTCTTTAGCATGCAGTTAGTTCCTTCTTTGTGGAATCTCGCGGGAGGTTGCGCTTTTCATCGCTCCTTACTTATTCCTTCTTCCAGCATTGAAATATAAAAACAGCATGGGTAATTAATTACTCCTCTCTGAACTCTACGATGCCAACTTGACTAAAATCAGCAACGAAAGTCCCTTTAAATGAAATATGTCAGTTAAATAAATAGGCAAGAAAACTATCGACCATTCCGCGAAGGCAACCCTGATGACAAAGCGTTTGATTGGGCTGGTTGGTAGTGCATGGTAGGCGAAGAAAAGGCTTAACAGTGCAAACGATAGGACGGGATAGAAGAGACGAGAACAGCGCTCTGTTCTCGCCTCTTCTAACCCCTCCTTTCGTTGGCGCTGTTAAGCACTTTCTTCGGGAACCCTGATGGGATTCAAAGCAGCAGCGTTGCGGATGGCGTTGATCCGGTTTACACTGGCGTCGACACGGGCGCTGGAAAATTGGTTTGAAGCAAAACTCGGCGTAGTGTTTACTCTAGTAAATGTTTGTTCAAAATGCTAAGACACGGGAGATCAGACGCGTTGAACACGCTTGCTGTTGGCTTCCTTGGCTCGCGTCTCGCCGGTGTTACCCGCGCGCCATTTGTATTCTCGAACGCGATCGGTGTTCTTGGCTCGTACCTCGTATGGGTATGTTTGGTCTTCTACTACCGACGCTTGCGGTCGGCTTCCCTGGCTCACGCCTCATTGGTGTTCACGTCACCATGCGCGAACGCGATCCGCTTCGCCAACCCTAGCAACGCCGGTGACAGCCGAGAAAGATTCGCGCACCCTAGCAGGAAGCATGCCGCGAGGGCGTCCTGTCCGTTGGCGCAATCGCTGGCACGCAGCAACAAGCTGCCCACATTGTCGGCGCCGCGAGATGCTATACGCACGCGCACCCGCCGGCTCACGGCTTCTCGCCGAAAGATGCAGAGAAGTGGCGCAGGTGAGATGATGCCCACGTGAAGAAAGGACTCGAGGGTTGCGAGTGGTGGAGAGGGTGAAGCGAGGGAGAGTTGACAAGCGGTGAGCGCACGGCAGGTGAGGGAGAGACGCGTCACCGCGCACTGCTAGGAGGGCGTGAGCTACTTGACACCGCTCGAACACCTGCGGCGAGGGGAGCGGTGCGGACGGAGGGAGAGCGTCACACAGGCTAGTAAAGGATCTGCTTCACATCTAATAGGCTCAAATGCACTAGAAAGACGATGTCTTTTTCTTTTACCACATTTTTTTACGTACGATGCACCACGTCTTCATTTTAAGGAATGGCATCGTGTACTTACGTAGTCGCTCTATCATTTTAGCGAACGTAAATCATCGAGCCAATAATCGCAGTGCCCAAACCCAATGGTTAATATTAAGAAAGTCTATAGCTTTTTTCTTGAATTCTGTCAATATTTGGGCATATCATTGACGAAAATGTGTGCCCCGTGCGTCGAGAGGTTTCAACTATAATGGAAGCACCACACTAAGAACACGTGAGCTTAAAGCGTACCCGGCATGATAACTTTTTACTCAAGTTCATGCCAAACATGTCTTCGAGGCTAAAGCCTTGTATGCACTGCTCAGAAGATAAAGTGGGTCTGGCCGCAAGAAGAAAAAGCCTTCGCGGAGGTAGAGCGTCCTTACGCAAGCGGTGCTAAATTCTATGACCCAAAGAAGCCTCTTGGATTAGTCTGCGACGCCTCTCCTTACGGGGTTGTCGCAGTGTTGTTTAATGTCGTGAACGGGGAAGAAAGGCCGATAGCTTATGCGTCACGCACTTTGAGCAAGGCCGAAAGTGGCTACGCACACATAGAAAAGGAAGCGTTGGCTGTGATTTTCGGAATCAAACGGTTTCACAAGTATCTTTACGGCCATGAATTCACCAATTATTCCGATCACCTTCCCCTGGAGGGACTGCTGGGGCAAACAAAGGCAATTTAGCAAATGGCAGCAGCACGCATGCAGCGCTGGATGCTAGTGCTAGCTGCATATCGCTACAATTGTGTGTACAGAAAGGGAGCCCAAGTAGCAAACGCGGACGCGTTATCGCGATTACCGCTTCCGAACGACACCGACGAAAGTGACCATGTTCACTTCTTTTCAGCAGTAGAACCCGTACCACTATCTGCGAAAAGGATCAGTGACGAAACCCAAAAAGACCCAGTTTTGTCTAAGGTGCTAATGTATGTTTTGAATCAATGGCCATCGTACGTGTCAGAAGACAACGTAGCCCCATTCTTCTCGCGGAAAGACGAACTGTCGGTAGACTGTGGTTGCATAACATGGGGAACTCGGGTTGTTATACCTGAAGCGGTACAATCTGATGTCTTATCGCTTTTGCATGAAGGGCATCCAGGCATCACTCGCATGAAAATGCTATCAAGAAGCCATGTGTGGTGGCCAAAGTTGTGCGACCACATTGAAGAAACTGTAAGAGGTTGTTCAACTTGCCAACTAACGCAGAACTCTGCGCCCCACGTGCCGATGTTATCGTGGGGATGGCCAACCCGCAGGTGGCAGAGAGTTCACCTGGATTTTGCCTACTACAAGAACGACTGGTTTTTAGTGCTTGTCGATGCGCACTCCAAGTGGGTGGATGTTCTGCACATGAAGTCCACTACAGCACAGGCGACAGTTGAAAAACTCCGCACTGAATTTGCTGCATTTGGGCTTCCCGAGAGAATTGTGACTGACCATGGGCCGCAATTTGTGTCTGCTGAATTCACAAATTTTCTCAACTCCATTGCAGTGCAGCACACCAAGACACCACCTTACCACCCAGCTTCAAATGGCACAGCGGAGAGGCTTGTCCAGACCGTCAAGCGAAGCTTCATCAAACAGCTACGGGACGAGCAGTTCACGGGAGTGACTCGGACGATGCAACATCGGGTAGACCAGTTCCTGTTCACCTACCGAAACACACCGTGTTCGACGACTGGTAAGACGCCAGCCTAACTGTTTCTCTCATGGAGGACGAGGCTGAGCATCTTCAATCCGGAGCTAGTGAAACGTGCCGAAGCAAATATAGCTCGAGGACAGGGTCAGGAAACCCATACTTCATGGAGGGAGTTCGAGGTTGGCGACAACGTTCGTGTGTGAGGAAACCGACCGAATGATCCACGTTGGTTGGAAGGAACAGTTGCGCGACGAGTTAGCAAAGGAACATACATAGTCCGAATCGAAGACCACGAGCGCTTTCTGCATGCGGACGATATTGTTCCTAACACATGCGTTGCTCCTCTTCCCAGAAGCGTGTGGATTCCTGAGCAAACCCGCATGGCACAGCTGGGTTCCACTCCGTCACAAAGCGACAGCGACACCGCATCGCCGCCGGACGGGCCTGCACCAGAGCAACGACTTCCGCCACCTGACCGAGCCAGCATGACGGAACTGCCACCACAGCAGGCGCCTGACGCCAACTCCCAAGAAAACGTCGCGCCACCTGAATTGCGACGAAGCACAAGAATTCGAAAGCCTCCCGAACGTTTTGGCTATGCTGCTAAATAAAGGGCGAAGAGATGTAGTAGCCAACGTATGACGCGCCGTACTGACGTCACAGGCTACGTCATGTGCCTGTACTTATATTGGCATGCGAGCCGCTTGCTTATCACATTAAACCTTCGCCACCAACTGAGTCCAGCGTCGCCTTGCTCGCCGGCTACAACAATGGATACTTTTCCAGGATGATGATAATGATTTATATACCAATTTTAACATCTGAGCACCTGAGCACAGAAAAAGCAACAAAATAAAGTAATCACAAAATAAAATATCTTCCCACCATGCTGAGAACTACGTGCATACGAGCGCACCAAATGTTCTAATTGCATTCAAAAAATGTGGTGGTCGGTATTTTTGTCCTCGAAAACATGTGAAGACCATTGCAGTATATTTTACAGCTGAATAGTACATAACCGTGCGTTAATAATGTACAAGAACCATGCACTATGGCTAGTCTTTTGCAAATAGCACACAATTTATCTGACGTGTATGTGTACCAGAATAAAGAATAGACAATCTGTGTGCTGCTCGTCAATGTGTACTCTGAATTTTTATGAAAGCGAACACCCTAGAGCGTAGTCTGCGCGTCCATGGCGGCTGCTTGCAGTGCGTTCAGGCGGCAGCGATAGCAGCGAGAACCACAAGACTTCTTCATACGAATGTTGCGTAAGTGTGTCACAGTTCTCTATGCAGAGGTCGTAGAGCACTGCACATGCTACGCGATGATAGTTTCACCTGGCGCTTGTCGTTTTGGGAGTTATCTGAAACCAGACAGAAACTGCTCTGTCATGAGGAGCCTGTATTTATTTATATGATGCACACAGCAGCAAATGATAGGCCTTGTTATTACTTGCAGGACCCAGAAACATACTGCACCAAAAATGAAAACAAAAAAAATAAACAAGAGACCGAAATTTGGTGTCAGTACACCTTTAGCTAGAGTCTATAGCATTTCGAGAGCGAACATGGCTAACGAGTGCTCAACGAAACGTTCAGTACTCTGCAAAATCAACAGTTTAATGACGCGTTCATCAGATTTACAGCCCATGCCCCAGACTAGTAAGTGACGATGGCTATAAATGATAACGCCAGCAATCTCACTGCTGGCATCCAGTTGCTCATTGGCGGCCGGGCATGGCAGTGGCTTCACTTTGATTGTCTGCGTCGGTTGTGTGAAGTCTTGTGTCTTCCCCGCGCCTCTTGGAATGATTTGTCGTGCGCTCGTAAGCATCTGATAACTGAGACTGACAGTTTCATCAGCTTCACGCACGATGATGTCGGAAATATGTATCGCCCTACTTGCACAAAGTAGGCGACATGTACCGTAAGACGCAGTGTATTTGTCGCGGACAGTTGCAAAGGTTGTTCATAAAAGCTTGCCTTTCAGATTACGCATGCAATTTGTGTCAATCCACGCGTCTTTGTGACCCAGGGACTGTGTTGCTCTTTGAAGCTCGACAGTGTAATTACCGAAACGCGCCAGCCGACAGACAGACAGAGAGAAAAAGTTTATTAGCAAGTGCGTTTCGCCCCCGAGTCCCTGGACCACCACGCGGTCTCGCGCTACGTGTACACAGCCATGCCTCTTGCCCTGAGGACATCAGCAGCTCAAGTCCACACAGCAAGCTGCAATGCCGGGAGCTCGAACTGGAGAGAAAGTCCTTTCAGTCCTTCTTGCTTGAGATGACAGGCTGCCCTTGAAGGGGAGGATCAGCAGGACACCTAAATATAAGATGCAAAAGAGTGGCGTGTGGTTCGACGCATAGGGAGTATTCAGGGAAAGTGCCACAGTAGTGGGACAGCTGCTGAGGGGAAGAGAGCACAAGTCTTGAGACGTCTCCATAGGATATGTTGGCAGTGCGTTAGAAAGGGAATTGAAGGATGGTAACTATGACAGTATAAACGGTGTACTTGAATGAGCTTTGCAAAAGTGTGTGCCCACTCCTTCGAGAAATCTGACGTGAGGCTGTCCAGAGCTCGGCAAATCAACCCTTAGGCCAGTTTATTGGCAGCCTCGTTTCCGGGGTTCCCTGAACGAGCCGACACCAACCCATTCCCGGTAAATGTTGGGTGGGGATGTTTAACGGACTGGCAGGAGGGTGTACCTTTTCCCTGGCATAGTTGTACAGAGCAGTTTTTGATTCAGTCGTAATGTGCCTCGAGTTGTGAAAGGCTTGGGATGGCGGTCTCCTCTGACTCCTCAGCTGTAGAGCCTCAACGGAGGCGGCTAAGGGGAAAATTGTAGGTAATAATACACATTCTTTTGCTGTAGGACACACTATATTAGCGTAAAACCAAGACGTCTAGAAAGGGACGAGCGTGCTGAGCGTTGGCAGCTGTTGTCTGCCTGTCCCTGTGTATGGTGTGTGTGTGTGCGCGTGTGTGCATGTGTGTGAGCAGAAAATAAAAGGCGCGCTCCACCTAATTGAAGAATCTGCACACACCAGTTGTGTTCTGAACAGTGTTCACGTATTCATTCTTTATTAAATCGTTCAAAAAGCGTTAGTTGTTAACCACCCGAGTGTTTATATTGTGGACAGGGTACAAGTGCTTATTTTGCCAACGACACTCATCCTTTTCCGGGTTCTTGCCGGCTAGCATACACCAAGCGCGCCTTTCCTGGTCTCTTCTTGCAGCTGCTAGAGCTGGCGCCGAGTTTAGAATTGTTGCTTTGCAGAGGATCGAATTGAGAATCATACGTGGCGTGAAAAATTGCCGTAACTCTCAATTTTTTATGCTTATTTTATTGCTTGTTGACAATGTGTACCGCGCAAAGTGTTGAGGTAGACATAAATACATGTTCGCGCCTGGCAGACGAAATGTCAGCCGAAACTCGCGTCACCCTCCTGTGGTAACATCATCATGCGGAACATCTTGGTACGTGACCTGGAAGATGACAACATGGCACCAATTCGAATGAGCAGTGTTGGAATTGCCAAGCCCGCTTGTAATCGTATTCAGTACTTGTTCCACAACTAAATACTTGCCGTCATGCGTTAGCCGACAGCAGTAACATGAATATTTGTTCATTTTGTCCTGTCTATTAAGTTTTCGAGCTCATGTTATGTAGCTATATTTACGAGGACTACCTCCGTCGAGTAGTTTACACCTATTTGCTTGAAGGATCTTCGTGACGTAGCAATAACAACCAGAAAATGTATCTAATGAAAAGTTATTAGAAATGCACTCATCCCTACGAAGTGAATCATGGTGAGTAGGCGAAGCTACGTCGTAAGGCCCATAACGTTGAAGTCATTGACTAGTATAAAGGGTTTGTGCTTGTAGGCTTATTATATTGTTTTGACGCAATTATAATTGCTAGCAGTCTATTTAAAACGCTTTCCTTTGTCGCACATTATTGTGCGTCACCTGAGCCTTGCCGCATATAACTTAGCCCTGACATAGGAACTCCGGAAAAGCCTCGCCTCCCCCCCCCCCATAAAAAACATAAATGACAACCTACCTTGGCTATTTTAATAGTCTTGAAACTCTCAAGCACACCAAGCAAACTAATATGGGAGGCTCTTACCTCACGAGGCTTACATCAAACAAGTCGGCTCAAAACTCATTTTGGAGTGCGTCTCACTATAGTTCAGGTTGGGGCCATCAGCGTTGTGCACCCCTGATATACCCTGCAGCACAGTGGATTTCTGAAGGCTGCACATCCGTCTGTAACGAATCAGGCCGTCAGAATATCCCTCCCGCTATTTTCTTTCGGAACAAATTACCCACCGCATTGCGGATGACCACTCTCCGGCTTTACACCTTATGAGACTTATAACTAGAAAGTCAGGTGAAAAGAAGGTTTCGTGTCGGTGCAGTACTGACACAATGGCGCTATTACAAATGCGAAACATTTTTAGCGAGCTTCGGCGAGACTTACAGTATCTATCTATCTATCTATCTATCTATCTATCTATCTATCTATCTATCTATCTATCTATCTATCTATCTAACTATCTATCTATCTATCTATCTATCTATCTATCTATCTAGCCACCTACGACTTTTAGCTCTCGTGGCTGTTTGAATGATAGGATCTATACCAAAATTCGTATGGTATAACATGACTGTATGAAGAGCATAAGTGACTAGTCATAAGATGAAAAAAATGACAGATCACACGTACAGTGGGAATCGATGATATGTGAAGCACGAATGATAGATATTGATATGTCACTTTCAAATCAGCACAACCTTACGAAGTGGAGGTGAATGATGCCGTACATGACCTTCGTATCATGATTATCATGTTTGGATGTATCGTTTACTTTGATAATCTATTCGCGTCACGTGTTACCAAATTTAGTACATGGAATTCTATATGAAACTATAGAGAAGTAAACTATATATGTATTGGCCACAAGCACGGTAGGATCGTGGTATGTTGTCGTGTTCTTAGATTACATGCGTGTCAGGATTATCATGCTTGCACCAGTCATATAGTTTGTCTT